CTTTGCTCTGTGGGTTTCTTTGCTTTGCTCCCCTTGAATTGTTTGATTTCCTTGGTAAGATGGAGAATGCGTTGTAAAATAGGCAGCATTTTAAGTTGAGATCCTCTGAGAGTGGTTTTTAAAATATCTCTGTTTGATCTTTTGTCTTAGTGATCAGAGAAAAGATGGACAAGAACACTTCACCTTGAGTTGTTAGAATTCCATTGTTTAGCATAACTGATATTTGTTGCAATTAAGCCATGCTACATTGAATGTAAATGGGTAACTACAATGAGGACCAATGGACTTCTGAAGTTCAAGTTCTATTCTGTCTGAAGACAATTTCCCTACCAGAGGTCACACTTTAGCACACACATGCAGACACAGAAGTCATGGTCCTGCATTGTAAGTGAAACAGCGTTGGACAATTATCTGGTCAGTTTGGGTTTTGAAATGGTTCAGATTCTAACCTTCCCACCACTTCCTTAATTATCTCAACAATTCTGGCAAGAGGTGGTTTGGGGGTGGAAAGGGATAATTCTAAAAGAATTAAATAATTATAGCTGCCAGGAAATCTGTCCTGGGTTTTATATATTCCTGCATAATAATACAAAATCTCTTGATTTTTACTGTATCTAAGTTCTTTAATGCATGCCTCACAGCATTCTTTATACACCCTTGCTATGTAAACATGTTGAAACCATGGAATGTTTTTCTTTAATCTTGACATTTGGGAGAGCAAAAGGAAACAACAAAAGGAGAAAAGACGTGTTGAGTTTAGAATTGTGGCTATTTCTTATTGGTTCTAAACTTTTACTTTAACATTGCAGCAACACCACTGTTCATTTCCTGTTAAACTTCAAGCCTACCTTTTGATTTTCAAATGTCCCTTAGGCTAATGTTTTCACTGAAGAATGAAATGAACAGGCAGAAACAATTAAGCCAGCAGATACAGTGAAAACGAACACCACATCGCACTTTCACAGAAATGGAAGTGTATGAAGGAATTCTGCTTGGAATTTGATCCCACAGCAGCAAAGCTTTTGCTTCTTGTCATTTTTCTTCTGCCTACCCCCAGTGCACACCACTTCCCCTGTATGGGGAAAAAAGATCTAGGCACACAAAGGAACTCCTAAATACTCACAGGCGTGGGAAATATTTTCTCTGCTTGTTACTAGTACAGGATAATCTCCAAGGAAGAAAATCCAGCTAGATATTCTACACTGCAAATGTCTCCCAAAGCCTGTTAAATGTTCACATATGTCTTTATGAAATTTGTAATATAGATTGTTTGTATAGTCCTGATTAAGAGCATGAACATCATTAAAAAGGATAAAGTCAGTTTAAGGACAGAAAATTATAAAGTCAACTAAAACTGTTACCTGCAAGAAAAGTATGGACTTTTTAAAAAAACTTAATAGTCGGTGGCTCTTTAAAGAAAAAGATGCATAAACAGCCAAAAGTGAGTTGTTAAGAGGCTTCTAAATTCTATCAGGAATTAACAAGGAAATAATTAACTCTACCCCAAACAAATCAGCCATCACATGTTTATAGCATTTTGGTCCCTCTATGAAAGCTCTATCTTCTTTTTTAGTTGCACTCTAAGAGATTTTACATTGCAAGAGCTTGGCACGCCTTCCTTTTTGACTGACCGTATTATTCCGGAAGACTGGAATAGATGCAATTATTATTATCAGATACAAGGCCTGTAGCATAGATTCAAGATGAGCTCTGCCTGAATTCAAACTTTATTTCTAAAGACAGTATGCATTTGGAGTTGCCTTGTGAAACTGCCAGAATACAGAAAACACAAAGTTTAAACCTTTTGGATGCCCTCTGTAAGGTAAAGCAACACCTCAGCAGTGGATCAGGAAGATGAACGGCATCTGTAAGATTATACTGAGCAGAAGGCATGGTTTTGGTTTTTTATTGAATCCATCCCTTGGTATTTTCCCAGTAAAACACCTCTCGTAAACCAGGGTCTTTGTATTTTTGTTGTTGTTGTTATGGGATTTTTTTTTAAATACCAGTTTAATAGTTTTACTCTACAATAGGAGAGATGTGAAGACAGCTGCTAGTAAACATAAAACCAGCCATATAATGGCATTACAATAGATTTTTTATTTGAAATTCCAGGATGGGGTAAATTTGTTACCCCAGCAAATAGCTGATTACCTGGAAATTGACTTTATATAATAGGGAACATTTCCCTGAAAAAGAAGGCAATTTATATTGGTTAAAACACCAAACAACCAACACACTTCCTCTTTTTTGTTATTTATTCAAAAACAAAACAAACAAGAACATACCTATGTAGTGTCTAGACATCAGAACGCTCTAGTAAACTCCTCTTCCAGGTGTTATAATACCAGCCGTGAAGCAATAAAAAGGCACAAATGAATTTTCAACAGTACATGGAAGATGTAAGTGGAATAGGATGTTTTATCTGTCTTATCTGCAGTTATCTACCACTGGCATCACTGAACTAAGCAAATTAAGATCATTTGGTCATCTTGTTTGCTTTTGCAACACAAAAAGGTAAACCTAAAATATTTATAGATGTATTTACATGTTAGCCAACACAGTTCATTCTTCAGATTATAGTGCTGTATTTGTTAAATGTCTAAATGACCTTACAAGGAAAAAAAATAGGTAGTGGTAGCAGCAGGGAAGGTGTAATTAAACATATGAAAAACTTCACTGGGACGGATAGCAGTAAACTTTGAAACTAGTCACCACTACAATTTGCAATTCTCTTTTGTTAGAGGCCCATTGTAGCCTCCTGAAAGGGGCTCCCAGAATCTGTGAATGTGACCTTAATTGGAAAAATGTCTTTGTAGATACAGTTAAGCTAGTGATCTCGAGAGGCTATCATCCTGGATAAGGGTGGACCGTAAGTCCAAAAGCAAGATTCCTTGAAAGAGAAAAGAAAGTGGGAAGGCACACAGAAACACACAGTTAAGGAGGCCATATAAAGATGGAGGCAGAGACAGGAGTGACGAGCCTGCAAGCCAAGGAATGCCAAAGGCTGCCAGCAGCCATGAGAAGCTGAGAGACACGGAGAACAAATCCTCTGCCAGAGACTCCAGGAGGAACCAACCCTGTCAATACCTTGATTTCGGACTTCTGGACTCCAGAAACGTGAGAGAATATATTTCTGTTGTTTTAAGCCATGCAGTTTGTAGTAATTGGTTACAATAGCCCTGGGAAGCTAATATGGGGTCATTCAGCAATTAAGAAAAAAAGGAGACCTATTAGCACATGGAGTCCAAGGGAGGAAGGAATGACTGAGCTGTTTGTAGGTCAGTGTGCAGTAGGACATCATGAGCAACCAGAACTCAGGTCTAATTTCTGCCAGAACTCTGCCTCCGTGTTAGTCTGTTTTCATACTGCTAATAAAGACATACCTGAGACTAGCTAATTTATAAGGAGGTTTAATTGACTCACAGGTCTGCAGGGCGTGGTGGAGTTGGGGGCCTCTGGAAACTCACAGTCATGATGAAAGTGGAAGCAAACACATTCTTCTTCATGTCGTGGCAGAGAAGTGCTGAGCTAAAGGGGGAAAAGCCCCTTATAAAACCATCAGATATCGTGGGAGCCCACTCATTATCACGAGAACAGCATGAGGGTAACCACTCCCATGATTCAATTACCTCCCACCAGGTCCCTACCAAGACACGTGGAGATTATGAGAACTACAATTCAAAATAAGATTTGGGTGGGGACACAGCCAAACCATATCACCCTCTTTCCTCTTTGCTTTACTGTCTGTCATTGAAAACTAGCATTCTTCACTTGGCAGGCAACATTGCTGCTAACATCTTTTGAGTTTTCTATTGTATGGCTTCAATCATCTCAGATGTACTAATTCCCTTTGATATTCCCAAATTTTTTGAAAGAATCTTACTTTCCTAATTTGGGTCATGTCTCCCTCTGAATTAACCAACAGAGGCTAAGCTGCCAAGATCTTATAAAATATGACAATTCCTAAGGAAACCATTTGAATGGGTGAAGATGCTGGGCACCCAGATGTCCATCACCTGATATCTTTTCTTTCTATGATCTTTCTATGATACGATAGCCATTTTTCTTAAAGACAACAGTGTGGCATTTGCAAAGACATTTGTTCTGTGGACAAGATGTGCAAGTGAATCTGAGCTCTGCCATTTACTGGAAGTGTGACATTAGCAAGTCACTTGGCTTTTCTGAGCTTTCTTGTGAAAAATGAGGATAGATTCATTGTTTGATAAACACTCGACACCTAGAAGGATCTCAATAATGTTTGTTAATAATGGTCATAGAAGTATAGAACTTAAATAGACCTTAAAGACAGACAAGGTTAATCACTTTATTTTCACAGATGAGATTTCAGAATTTAAGTTGGTGAGAAAACCAGGGCAAGAATTTAGGTTACTTAACTACCAGATTAGTGTTCCTTTGTTATTTTGTATGATCTGTCCCCATCCCCGTGGATACGAAACAAGGTCTCATCTGAAAGGTGTTATTCAACTAAGGAAAAGCAGCTTTCTTAGAACAGACACTGATATTTGGCTTTAGATTAGATACTAACACAGGGAGAGAGGTGCCAAAAAAGAAAGACCAAAGAGTTGTGCTGGGAGTTAGGATGTGAAGGACCCAGTCAAGCGCCTGCAAAACCTTGTCTACTTTTGAGCCTATAAAAAGTAATTATTTTGAGAAAGCATTCAAACAAATAAGCCTTGGTGGGATCAGACCCCTCTAATTATTAAGCCATCTTGTTTACATCCCTCTATCCTGTGTTTATTTTCATTTGGCCATCCCTTATTATATAATAGAAACAGTTTGAAAGAACCCATTTTTCTCAGTTTGATGATGAGAAAATCAAGAGAAAGGTATTTTCTTCTTTGGGCCAAGCTTTGTTTCAAGTAAGAACAATTACCAGTATGTCTGGTGACTGTAGTTCTGCCCATTTTTATGCTTATAAAAGCTTGATGCTGAATGCCTATGTTTTAAAGTTTTTATAAGATCAAATTTGCTTTCAGATAACCTTCCTTCCACCTCCCAAAAACTCACAAGCTGCAACATTTCTGATGTCCACTTCCACACAAGCCAACTTCAGGCCTTTTTCAAGGTAAAGTGCCGTATTTACTGTAGCATTTATGAACTTCCTAATTGCCTAACATGTGTAAAACTGCACTAGTGTTTTTATTAGGCTCCTACCTATTTTTATGTGTCACTCATGAAGTGTTTGAATGTTTTTCCCAGTCTCATTTTTTTGCTAAACCTTATGATGTGACTTTTATTGCATGATTTTACGTGGCAATGGTGATTTTTAGGAATGCTTATTTCATATTATGGCAGAATTGACTGTATCTTGCTGGAATATGGGTTATATAAGCAAATAGCCAAATATAATCATACTATAACTTCAAAATTTTGTACATTTTGCAACAAGTAAATGTATAACTCAATAATTAAATCAATATTAACAATTTCTTTCTGCTTAAGGTTTATGTCTTATCAGTACATTGACCAATGATTTCTTATGTATTTCGTTTTACTCCTTGGTGAGTACCAAACTATTCACAGTTCCCTGGATGCACCAAGTTCTCTTATGGCTCTTGGAACTCAATATTACTTTTGTTTATTAAATTCTCACTTCCTATCTTTGCCAGATTAATTTATACTAATCATTTAGACTTTGGTTAAGATATCACTTCTTTCAAGAAGTCTTCCAGGCCATTACTTCCTCCTCAGTTTGGTTAAATGCCTCTTGTACATGCTTTCACAGCATTTTGTGCTTAGCTTTCCCATAATTTTTGTCACATTTTGAAGGAATTATTTGTTATTGCTTTCAGATCTCAATTTTCAAGTTAAGAGCTATGCATTTTAATCCCAGATCTCCCTAGGTCAGTGCCAGGCATGAAATAGATGCATATTATAATATTATCTGAAAATTACCTAAATAAATTAATGAATGTACTATTTTGTGAACTAGTTTATTAGTTTCCTATTGCTAATAAACAAATGAACAGAAGTTTACTGGATTAAAACAACAGAAATTTCTTATCTTACAGTTCTGGAGGTCAGAATTCTGACATGGATCTCACCGGGCTAAAATCAAGCTGTTGGCATGGAAACTCTATTTCCTTCTGGAAACTCTAGTGAGAAATTCATTTTCTTGCCCTTTTCAGCTTCTAGAGGCCACACCTCGTTCAGAATTAATAGACCAGGTAAGTGTAGATCTATTTTCTACTCTCAATTCTTGTGAGGTGGAAGAGGTACGGTATCTGAAATGAGACAGAAAGAGTAGCACCAGAAGAGGTTGAGTTTGACTCATAATCCACAGGTAGATGCGGGTGAACTGAGCAGCTGGTAGATATTTGAGGTGTATTCGTGTGTTCCATTAATCTGTTTGTTCATCTTTACACCAGTATCATACTTTTCCAATTACTATACTTGTTTTTGTTTTTATGGTATTGTAGATGGTATGTTTATAGTTTCATTTTTCAAGTTTTGATTGCTAATACATAGAAAAGCAACTGACTTTTGTATGTAGACATTGTATTCTGTGATAACACTAAATCAACTTATTAGGAATTTTTTTAAAAGACTACTTAGAATTTTCTATATATCATGTCAGCAGTAATTCAAAAGAGTTTTGCTCTTTTCTTTTCGGTTCTTATGCATTTTATTTATTTATATTGTCTTATTACACTGGCTGGACACCTCCAGTACAAGAATGAATAAGAGTACTAAGAATGGACATCCTTGCTTTGTTTCCTATCTAAGGGAAACATTCAGTGTTTTATAATTAAATATAATATTATTTCTATTTTTTAAAAAATAAGTGACCTTTATCAGATGGAGAAAATTTTATTTTATATCTAATTTTCTGGTAGTTATTATTATTATTACTGCTATTATTATAGTTGGGCATTGAATTTAGTCAAATGCTCTTTCTTCAACTAACGAGATAATCAAGTGATTTTTTTCTTTATTTTATTCTGCCAATGTGTTTAATAACATTGATTTTATTTTGAGTGTTAAAACAACTTTGCATTTCTGGTATAACCCGACTAGGTCATGATGTACTAGCCTTTTTATGTCTTGCTGGATTTGGGGTGATCATATTTTTGTTTTTGTGTTAATTAAATGTATTAATCTGTAATTTTCTCTTTTTTGTAACATGTAAATGGCTTGGTGTCAAGGTAACACTAACCTCATAAAATGAATTGGGAAGCGTTCCCTTCTTTTATATTTTTGGAAGAGTTTAAATACATTTATATTATTTCTTTCTTAATTGTTTGACAGGCTTTACCAGTGCCATCTAAGTTTGGAGTTTTCTTGTGGAAAGATTTTAAAATTATCAATCAATTTGTTAATAGATATAAGGCTATTCTGATTTTTTATTTCTTCTTGTGTTAACTTTAGTAATTTGTGTGCTTCAAGAAACTTGTTCTTTTAATGTAAATTGCCAAATTTTTACTCAGAAAGTTGTTAGTAGTATTCACTTGTTGTGTTACTGGTTTGAATAATCTATAGTAATATTGTCTCTTTCATTTGTAATGTTGATAATTTATATTTTCTCTTTTTTCTTGATGAGTATAGCCAGGAGGTATCAATTTTATTATCTTTTTAAAGAAACAATTTTTGGTTTTATTTTTTTCAATTATTTTGTCAATTTTCTATTTAATAAATATCTGCTCTTATTCTTATTATTTCTTCATTCTTACTTTGGGTTGATTTGTTCTGATTTTTCTGGTTCCTTATGGCAGAATCTTAGATCACTGTTTTTAAATCATTCTTATTTTCTAATGGAAATATTTAAAACCATTTTTCTATTTTTGCTTTAACTTCATCTTACAAATTTTGATATGTCATATTTTTATTTTCATTTAGTTCAAAATATTTTCTAATTTCCTTTTAATTTTGTATTCAATCTATGTCTTAATAAGCATTTTAATTAATTCCAAATATTGAAAGGTTTTTCAAATGCCTTTTTCAATTGATTCTTAATTTAATCTGGTTGTGGACAGAGAACATTCTCTAAATGATTTAAATCATTTTAAATGTATTGAGATTTGTCTTATGGCCTAGCATAAGGTTTCTCTTGGTGAATGTTTTATAAACACTTGAAAAGAACGTGGGTTTTCTGATTGTTGGGAAGAGCGTTTTATAAACATACTTAGATTGTGTTTATTGATAGGATGATTCAAACATTCTATATGATTATTAATTTTATGTATAGTTATTCTGTCAGCTGAGATAAGTGTGTTGAAATCTCCAACTATAATGTCGAATTTGTCTATTTCTCTTTTTTGTTCTATTTATTTATGCTTCACAATTGTTGATGCTCTGTTATTATATCATGTCCTGTTATAATCACTGTGGCTTCTTTATAATTTGACACTTCTATCATTACGAAATACCCCTCTTTATCTCTGGTAAAACTGATTTTCTGGAAGTCTGCTTTGCCTAATATAATTATAGCCACTCCATCATTCTTAGGATTAGTGTTTTCATAGTATACCTTTCTCCAGTCATTTTCATTTCTAAGCTAAATGTGTCTTTACATTATATATGAGTCTCTTGTAAACAGCACATATTAGGTGATGCTTTTTAATAAGGTCTCACAGTTTCACCTTTTCATAAAATATTTGGTTCATTTATATTAAGTGTATTTATTAAAATAGTTAGCCTTACGGCTTCCATATTGCTATTTGTTTTACATTTTTCCCATATGTATTTTGTTTTTTTCCCTCTTTTCTGACTAATTTTAGATTATTTTTTACCATTCCACTTTTCAACTCCTATTGGTTTATTATACATACCTCACTATGTTTGTTTTTTAATGGTTGTTATAGGACTTACCATATAGATCTTTTATTTATCATAGTCTACCTTGCATTAATGTTAGCTCACTGTGTGTAAAACACAAGGAAATTAAAGGTTTCCCCTCCTGGATTTTTTGTTTTCTATTTTTGTCACACATTTAACTTCCACATGTTTAAAGAAACCCCACAATTTATTGATACTATTTTTTCTTTAAACAATCTTTAAAAAAATATTTAAAAAAAAACCTTTAAAAATTCTTAAACAATCTTTAAAAAAATTAAAAAATAAAAACATATATATTTACTTCTATAGTGGCCATTCCTAGTGCTTTTCATTCCTTTATGAACTGAATTTCCATCTGAAATAATTTTCCTTCAACCTTTAAAACTTCCTTTGGCATTTCTTGTAATGCAGGCCAGCTAGTGACAAATTCTTAGCTTTTTATTAATTGTTTTGGTCACAAAATAATGTATCATGAAGACTCAGGCACTGAATATGTCAAATTTTTCTAGCCAATATTCAAAGAAAGCTATATAAGCTCCAATCATATGTTATTTTACTGAGAAAAGTAAATGAAGAAAGCAGAAAAAATCAGTTTTATCTTCTCTTCATTTTGGAGGAGTAGTTTTCACTGGATATTGATTGTTGACAGTTTCCTTCTAGCACTTAAAAATTGTCCTATTGTCTCTTTGCCTGCATTGTTTTTAATGAGATGTCAGTAGTTTTTCTTATGATTGTTTTGCTGTGTCTAATGTGTCCACTTTCTGTCTTCTTTTAATATTTTTCTTATTATCATTGACTGTCAGCTAATGAGTGATGATATGCTTTGAGTTATTTTCTATAGATTTAGCATCATTAAAATTTATTAAGCTTTTTGGATCTCTGAGTGTATAGTTTTTATCAAATTTAGAAAATGCTCAACCACCATTGCTTCAAAAGTATTTCTGCTCTCCTTCTTCTGTCTCTCCCTCTAGTATGCCAATTCTATGCATGTAGTTAGATATTGTCACATGTCACTGAGGCTCAGTTAGTTTTTCTGTCCACTTTATTCTCTGCTTCAGTTTGGATCATTTCTATTTTTCTCTTCACATTCACTGATTTTTTTCTTTTGCTTTTAAGCTCATCCAGGGAAATTTTCATTTCATGTATTTTTTTGTGGGGAGGGGACAAAGTTATACAATTTCTGTTTTCTTCTATTTTATTTTATTTTTAGAGATGACATCTTGCTATGTTGACCAGGTTGGCCTAAAACTCCTGGCCTCAAGTGATCCTCCCAGTTTGGCCTCCCAAAGTGCTGGGATTATAGGTATGAGCCACCACACCCAGTTGGGATTTCTTTTTTCTTTTATGCTTTTCTATAAAATTTCCATTCTCTATTGTGTTTCTCTACTTGTTACCTCACTTTATTCATATTTTCCCTTAAATCTTTAACATATTAATAATAGTTGTTTTAAAGTGATTTTCTGTTAATTCCATTATCTCTGTCTTTTCTGGGTTTGTTTCTATTGACTGATTTTCTTCTGCTGTGGTCTTTATACATGGAGTAATTCCTGATGTTACACTGAACATTATAGTTTCTATGGTGAGTGTCTGATTTTAGCTTCCTTCTTAATCAGGTGTTAAGTTTTATTCCAAAAAGCAGTTAAATTAAGCCATCTTGATTCCTTTGAGTCTCAGTAAAATTTTGTTAGAGCAGGCCTAGAGTAGCCTATACTCTAGAGATAAATTGGTCCTTCTAAGGCATGGCCTTTCTGGACTCTCTAGTAAGCACTACGGATGTTTAAAGAGGTCTTTGCTCTCTAATTGGTTGGAAATTAAATGACTCTCAGCCTGTGCAGGTGCTAGTTCTTGTTCTATTCACAGCTCCTCAGTAGTTTTTCTTCCTCTAGTAGCTGTCTTTGCTCAGTAGTTGTTCTATGTTGGACCTCATGTTTTCTTGGCCTGCACAAGAGAAGCAGTGTTTCCAGTCAAACAATCAAGGGTCCTCAATATAGATTTCTGAAGTTCCTGCTCCATACATCTCCCTTTTATTTGGACCCTGACTCATACATTCTAGCAAATGTTGGTGCTCCAAATTCTGTTCTCTTTCCCGTTAGCCTAAAAAACAACCATTGTGTTCTGGGTTTCCTCTTCCTGCACTACAGTTCAGAAAATGCCTCCAAACAGAAAGCCAGGGAGATTGTGGAGCTTTTTTTCTTAGTTTCCTTCACGGAGTAATCACTGTTTTGCATTGCCTATTGCAAAACATCTTAAAATGGTTATTTCATATGCTTTGTCCAATTTTATAGTTATTTATGACAGGAAAATTAGTTGTGTATCAGTTACTCTGTCATCATTGGTAAGCAGGCATTTTAATGCAAACCATTTTAGTTGACAAGTTCTTTGAAGAATAGGTCTGGATGCTTTTCTTTATAATCAGAGATATACCTTAGTAATTGTACTCTAGTAGGTTTGTTGTACATATGTAAGTTAGTTTTAGTGTATGTATATAAATGTGTGTGTGTAGAACATAATGATACTTCAGTAATCACATAAGGTAGTAATCATTTACTTTTATTCATGCAACCTCCTTGTCAATTTTATGTTTTATGCCAATTTTCCTAGTTTGGATCTTACTTAGCCCTGGGAGAACTGTAGCTAGAAGAACCAGAGTGAAAGCACACTTTTTCTATTTTTAATTCTAAACTACATTACTTTTTAGAGTGTTATTCACCCAAGGTAGATAGTAATTCTGTTGGTGAGAGAGTTAATTAGAGGCAATTGTAGCCTAATAGACCTGACAGACTTTACATGAACTGTAATGTATAAGTAGATTTTTTCTCCGTATTCATATCGTTGATTCAGAAAGAACATTGTTCACATTATTTGTGAGATATCAAATGAACTGTTCAAGTCAATGGAACAAAAATGGGTCTATGATTCACATGTATTCCTATTTACTATACGAATAGTAAAAATTTATGTGCATTAGCTTGTAAACAACTGGAATAAAAATGTGTTCATAAATTTAAACCAAATGTTATCTGGTACTATTTTGAACTTGATTTCTATAGTGCAGATATGCTTAGCAGGTTGTCTTAGGAGTTCCTCTAGTGCACATTGTAATTAGACTTTGTACATGTGGAGTTCTTAGTAACACCCTGGTAGACATGATCAAAACCAAGGTCTCAAATATATAAACTTCTGTAATAATATAAATACGAATATTTATTGGGTGTCATTCATGTTTCTACTCCCTCAACAGATGCATTTTGAGTACCAGGTACTGCATTAGGTGCTCAAAAAAAAACATGATTTTAGGTACATTATAGAATGTGTTTTAGAAAACATCTATGTCTTATCAAGATGTAAATACAAATAACTATTTTTACTACTTACACACTACATAAACCAAGAATTTGAAAACCCATCTTCCTAACCTCCTATTTCAGGAACATCAAAGCTGTCACTCATCCCCTACACACAAAAAATCACCTAGCCAATGAGAATTTTCCTTTTTCAAAAAATTGGTAGTAGTCATTACCACATTTTATACCTGCTAACCTTAAGATCAATCTTAGCTGCAAATAAATGCCATAGATTAGGTTTTTTCTTTGTTTTGTTTTATTATGTTTTTAGGTCATAGTTTCCTTGGCCTAAGTAATGGATGAAGGAGTTCGCTACTCAGGAATCTTTTTTCTAATGCTACATGGAATCAACCTCAGTTTTTACATAGTTTCTAAGAATTACTGTTAAGAGCTAAGTTAATTTTCCATTGTAATTGATAATGTATTACATCACATACAATAGAAGATCTCTGAGTGATAGTCTACAGAATTTCTCATCAGATGCACTTGTTAGTTAATTTTTCTAAGGCATTTCACAATTGAAGAAAGAAGATAATTCATTTTTAGCGGCATTGGAGTCTCTTCATGCAGACTGGAAGTATACTTTGAATATAGTCATGGATTTTATTGCAGCTGGCACTTGAAGCTTGTATGAGAAGCAAGTGCAGATCAATTTTTGTGATTCTCATCTAAAAATACATAAAGACCAAGTTGTACTCTGGAGATTAACTAGATTTATCAATAGCAAACATCTTCCTTCACCTGAGATTAGTTAGAATTCAGACTTGGTCATGCTACTTTCATATCTGGCCTCCATGACACTTTTAATAGATAGCATCTTACCAAAAAATATAGATGTGTCCTTGGAATTTAACATTTTTGATGAGAAGTTGCAGTCAGACATTTTAAATATAACAACTATAAGTCTATTTAACAAATATAGATACACTATGTATTGCATATTCTTTTCTTTCTCCTGAAATAAACCTTTGCTATCTGAGGATGTGTGTATGTAATTAACAATGACTGCACACATACAGACACACACACACAGACACACACACACAAATATAAATTTAAGGATTTTTAAATTCTGCTAAATATTTTTTTACTCATGAAGCTTCAAATGTTCAGACTATGTCATGTTGAAATGAAGGAAATGCACCTTATCAAAAAGTAAAAAGCTTTAGTAATCAGTTTCATTCATGAGATTTTATTTGGCTGGCTTTTAGAAAATGTGACCAATTGTGTTGACATGATGTAGACATTTTGAAGAAATGTATTTGCTTGTAATTGTTAAATGATTAACTTTGTATGTAATATATGTTAATTTTATATTAAAAAAAATTCTGGATTCTTAAGCGTTGTCATTTATCCAGCTCCAGCATAAGAACTTTATTTGAAATCAGCTAAAGCATAATAATACCACCACAATTCTTTAGTCTTGAAAGGACAGCTAACAACAGAATTCAGTTTAGTGCAAGGAGGAAAGTTTCTCAGAGATCCATGGAGTTCCATAGAGACTCTCAGTTGGTAAGGTCTACTTAGGAATTTAAAGATGAAAATAACAGAAGGGATATTTTCTTCAGAATAACAGAGAAAAATAAAACTAGCTTCTATGAAATCAGAAGAAAAAGCAAGTTAAAAAGCATACTAACAAAAAATTATTAATCAGATTTTGTTTAAAAATCACCTGAGCTTAGCATTATGAGATCCACGCTAAAGTTATTCATAAACACACACAAAAGATACACTGTATATGTTTAATCACATTTAATTTGTTGACTATTTTAGTATTTTTTAAATATCAACATATTTTGATAATATGCTTTAATTTTAAAATAATATTACATATGTTAAATTACATACTAATCTATTGAGTATCTATCTTCAGTCTACTTGAAAACTATGAACAAGAAGAAATGGTTGTTTTAGGCCCCTTTCATTTTAATCCTCAACTTGTGATAAATATTGTCCAAGTATACTCATACTTTTTGATTTAACCCCTATCATACAAATAGTATCTTTAAGCAATAGTTTTTCATAAATGTTTACATTTTTATTTTTAGGAGTTTTCTAATGGTGTTAGAGAAGTAATGACTGTCATTAGTATTTGTGGATCTTCATGTATAATGGAGCGTAACTAGTTGTCCTGATTTTCTGGGACTGAGACGTTTCCTGGAATATGAGGCTTGCAGTTCTATAATGGGAAGAGTCCCAGGCAAATCAGGACAGGTCATCCCCCTAAATGACAGACACTGACTTAAGTGGCTAATACAAGTACAGCTAACATTTACTGAAGTCTTAAATGTCAGGTATGGGGCTAAGCACATTGGCTCTTTTATTTAATTGTCATGACAGTTCTTTGAGGTAGGTGTTAAATTTCATCTCATTTTGTAGATGAGGAAACTGAGTCTTAGTTAATTGTAAAACAGAGGTTTGATTAACACGTGCAAATTGAATATACCAAAATAGGTGTTTTCTTAAACAAGTATTTCTTCTTATGTCTTAGGCTTTTATTAATATTATGAATTTAAAAATATTGTTTTATAATTGGCTTAATGAGCAATTAGACTTTAAAGGTAGACTTTACAGAGAACCGTTTCAGATATCTACAATGAAAACTATAAAACATTGATTTAAGAAATCACACAAAAAATTTAAGAAATTACAAAAAAATTTAAGAAGACACACAAAAAATGGAAAATATTTCATGCTTATAGATTGAAAAATTAATATTATTAAGATGTCCATACTACACAAAGCAATCTACAAATTCAATGCAATTCCTATCAAAATATAAATGACATTCTTCACAGAAATAGAAAAACAATCCTAAAATTTATATGGAACCACAAAAGACTCAGAATAGTCAAAGCTATCCTAAGCAAAAATGATAAAACTGGAGGAATCACATTACCTGACTTTAAATTATACTACAGAGCTATAGTAACCAAAACAGCACTTTACTGTCTTCAAACTGACACATCGATCAGTGGAACAAAATAGACGACCCAGAGATAAATCCATACAGTGAACTTCTTTCTGACAAAGGTGCCAAGAACATGCATTGGAGAGGGGACAGTCTCTTCAATAAATGGTGTTGGAAAAACTGGACATCCATATGCAAAGGAATGGAACTTGCCATATGTAAAATCAAATCAAAATGAATGAAAGTTTTAAATCTAAGATTTCAGACTATGAAACTACTAAAATAAAACATTGTAAAAACTCTTCAAGACAATGGACTGTGCAAAGATTTCTTGAATAATGCCTCACAAACACAAGCAACCAAAGCAAAAATGGACAAATGAGATCACATCATGTTAAAAAGCTTCTGCACAGCACAGGAAAATGTCAACGAAGTGAAGAGACAATTCACAGAATGGGAGAAAATATTTGCAGACTACCCATCTGAGCAAGGTTTAATAACCAGAATATATAGAGAGCTCAAACAGCCCTATTAAAAAATATATAACAACATGATTTAAAAATGGGCCAAAGATTTGAATAGACATTTCTCCAAAGAAGACATTAAAATGGCAAACAGGCATATAAAAATTTGTTCAACATCATAATCATCAGAGAAATGCAAATCAAAACTACAATAAGATATCATTTCACCCCAGTTAAAATTGCTTATATCTAAAAGACAAGCAATAACAAATGCTGGTGAGAATGTGGAGAAAAGAGAATTCTCATCCACTACTGATGGGAATGTAAATTAGTACAACCACTATGGAAGACAGTTTGGAGGTTCCTCCAAAAACTAAAAATAGAGCTCCATTATAATCCAGCAATCCTACTGCTGGGTATATACCCCAAAGAAAGAAAATTAGTATATTGTACTAATATCTGCACTTCTATGCCTATTGCAGCGCTGTTCATAATACCCAAGGTTTGGAAGCAACCTAAGTGTCCATCAACTGATGAATGGATAAAGAAAATGTGGTACATATACACGATAGAGTATTATTGAGCCACATAAAAGAATGAGATCCTGTTACTTGCAACAACGTGGTTGGAACTGGAAATCGTTAATACTAAGCAAAATAAGCCAAGCACATAAAGGCAAACTTTGCATGTTCTCACTTATTTGTGGATGTTAAAAATTAAAACAATTGAACTCATGGAGATAGAGAGTAGAAGAATGGTTACCAGAGGCTAGGAAGGGCAGTGGGAAGTGTGTGCGGGAAGTGTGTGTGTGTGTGTGTGTGTGTGTGGTGTGTGTATAAAAATCAAATCAAAATGAATTAAAGATTTAGATTAAATCTTTAAATCTTGTTTGTGT